ATACTAAAGCTGATGTTACGAAGAGTTTAATTTTAATAAAATGCGATTATGCAGAAGGTAGAATTAAAATAGTTATTTTCCTAACAAGTGCGGAAAGTGATACTTTCCCGCACGCGACTGCCGTTGACCCGAACGACGCGAAGCGGAGTTCGGGCAAGCAGTCGAGTGCGGGAAAGACACTTTCCGCATGAGTAAGGAACATTATTTTTTCTACGAGCACGTTCAAATAAAGAAATAAAAATTAAGTAAATTCAAAGCGATATATTATCGAAGAAATCGTTCAATGACAATAGTTATTGATGTATCAAGGGTACATGTATATATACAAGTATATATTCAAGTATATATACAATTATATATACAAGCATATATATAAGTTTATATACAATTATATATACAAGCATATATACAAGTATATATACAAGTAGCATATATATAAAGTAGCATTTCGCGCACGGCATCATGGGAACGTTAAAAAAACCATACCTGTATACAATGTCAAAAAAAAATTATTAAATTTTTGAAAGATCCACAAATTATATTAATATGGATTAAAATAGCAAAAATGTATGCAGACAAAATTGATAAAATGTTTGATTAATTAACAAAACTGACACTTCTGAACGCCACTTTCCCGCACTAGTGCGGGAAAGTGACATTTTCGGAACTAGAATGCGTGCGGGAAAGTGATAAAAAATGCACGCTCGTAGAAAAATGAATTAAAAGGTATTTATAAAAAGGTAAAGGTACAGGTATAGGTGTATCAACAATACAAACAATTCCATGTCACAATGATTATTTCAAACTCTTCCCGCACCGGTGCGGGAAGAAAGTCTTCCCGCACAGCAAATAGAGCGGGAAGAGTCATTTCCCGCACGCTCGTGGAAAAATATATTTTCTTTTTCAAGGCTCTGAAACAACGAGATAGTTCGTATAAGAAATAAGTCATTTGAACTATTAAAAATGTTAAAAATATTCAACAATAATGATTTGGACATAATCTTTCATAAAAAGCAGAAAAATTAATGAAAGTAATGAAACACTTCCCTACTCGGTATGTAATATACTATTCCTTAATTTTAAATATTTACCACGCAAAGAAGCGAATTTCTTGGAAATTAAAAAAACAAAATATCTCAAAAACTGTTGAGAATGGTATAGAGGTAAATGATATTTAATCGGTAGCAAATGGGCTCTACTTTCACCTCCTCAAAGGAATACGTCTACTTACCAGTCACCCTATATAATGGGTTAAAAATCCCAAAAAATCCGATAGGGGGCACAACCCCAAAACCACCCCCAAAGGTACATTTTTTAGGTTTGTTGGAATTTTCTCAAAAACGGTAAGTTTAAACAAAAAAGTGCAAGGCGCGTTTTTTGTAGAGTACAAAATTTCGAATCCAATGATATACCCATTTGTATTATTTAAAGAAGTTTTAGTGTTGATACAGGCCTTAGAACCTAACAGTTATTTATTTTAGTGACAAATACCAATAAAATGTTTCGTTTTTGTTATGAATCATTTGTTATTTCGTCAACTTTGAGAAAATATGCGTATAATAAACTATGTATTATCTATTTACAATCCGATGTCCAAAGGTACAGGTAAAATTTATCACGTTTCAATGCGATTTGATAGGGAAAGGTGATAAATTTACCTGTACCTTTGGACTACAGATTGTGAATAGGATATAATGAATTGTTTATACATCTCAAATAACAGCGGACCAACATGTTAAAATCAATATTACCGTCGCGAGGGAGGAAAGCAACGCGATCAGAGTCGCGTTCCAGTGACGAATTCTAAGATGCTCCACACCAAAAATACAGTATTTTTTCCATTAAAGAGTAATAAAGCATTGTCTAAAAACCTTCTTATGTTTAGAAGTGATAAGCCGGATCAAAGACAATACTACTTCGTAGTAGTATTGTCACTAAATAAGACCAATACAAATTTAAATCTTACTTTTTTATATCTTAAGCTTATTTGAATAATAAAGTATAGTATACCAAAAAATTGCAAATTTTGTGCTCTACAAAAAAGGTTTCTTGCAAATTTTTCGAAAAACTTGTTGATTTCGAGAAAATTGCAAAAAACCTAAAAAATGTACCTTTGGGGGTGGTTTTGGGGTTGCGCCCCCTATCGGATTTTTTAGGATTTTTAGCCAGTTATATAAAACCTCAAAAGAAACACAATGACGCAAAAATTAGCTTGTAGCGAATTTGTTTGAGGTTCACCTCAAAATTAGCCTAGTTTTACTAGCCTATAAATGGAGGATCATTTTGTTAATGGGGATTTTGCTGTCAAATTGAAACTTTTTTCAGCGTTGACAGTACCAGCATGTTGTTATGTCATTAATGTGGTCATTTCATTACTTATTTTATTTATGAAAAAAATTTACTAAGCCCGCATACGGCGCCATCTCTTATAACCGATTCCAAGTTTATTTTGTATTTTGTATACCGCGCCATCTCTGATACCTGGAACGAAGCTCGGCATTGCAGATACAGTAGAACAATGCTGCTCAGGAACTAGAGCTATTTCGAACAGAACTATTCCACTATTCCGATCAGATAGAGTGGTGCAGAAAGAGTAGATCACATAGAGTAGTGCAGATAGAGTAGAACAGATGGAGTAGTGCAGTGCAGATAGAGTGAAACAGGGCTGCGCTAGAGATTTTTTTTTGTTTTCTTTACATTCTTTGAACATTCCTGTGCCTGAGTTTGGTACACTTTACAAGAATAATGCCCACAAGCTGCCTAAAAAAGGATGATGCAAAATTTTAATTTTAGGTGACTTCTGATCCAGACAGTAAACATTAATTTTCTTCAACCAAAGCCAAATTCACCATCGAAAAAAACTTAATTTAATTCAGCTAATAGATACGTTACCACAACATTTAATTAAGTATATTTAATAATTCAGAGGCGGTACGAAGTTCGCCGGGTCAGCTAATAAATTATTAACTTATTGAATAGCTCTGCTTTTGCTGATTTCAATGATATAAAATTCGATAGGTAAAGTGTCTTTTTTTTTAAAAAGATAAAAGTCAAAGTGACATTATGTTGGCAATACAATGTAAAATTGTCAATGCTTTCAAATTTTTTATGTAGAAAAGGCTTGCGTTGCCAACATAGTTACTAAATTTTTGACTTGGGGAATTATCTTTAAAAAAAAAACAGACTTTATATCTCTAACAGTTTTCCAGCAAATTTTTTTTTTCTGTTCTCGTCATAAAGTCATAAGGAACAATGTGTTAGAAAGAAACTTTCTCATTTTCCTTACAGATGCAAAGTCCTTTTCTGATACATTGTTTATTATGACAAAAACAGACATGATCAATAGCGCACCCAGAAAATATGTTTGGGGGGCCCTAAATAGGTTGTGGCTTGTGACTAGAAATCTTTTTTAAAAAATTACCTTGTAGGTATCAGAAAAACAAAAAGGGCGATGACAATTCTGTTGGCGCTATCTTTCGTTTGACAAAAAAGTAGCCAACGTTCGGGGAAACCACATCCTTCTTTCTCCAATAGCAACCGAGTTATCCCTTATGGACAACCAAAATGGGACACACTGTACATTTGTGATCTTGCTAATCTTCAGATGTGTGGAAATTGGAAAATTCACCATATGCGCCGATGATACCACAATAAAGTGGCAGGCTCCGGACCCTATTTCCCTCCTCCTTGTTCCAGATTGCTGGTATGTATTAAGTGTACTCTTATAGATAGTTCTCCAGTTGTGATCAAACCTGACAGCAGATTTCTTGGAATTATCATTGACGGAGAGCTCAAGTTCCACACACATATAAATTTTCTTGCCACATCTGGTTGTTTTTTGTTTTGCTGTTAGGATTAGTGTTCAGGAGCTTGGCCCGAGGATTGGCAAGTTGGTTTATTGTTCACTCTTTGAATTCCATCTTCGGTATGGTATTGCTTTCTGGGGAAATGCAAGCAACTACATGATTCAAATGTATGCTCTTTATTCTCCAAAAGAAGACGGTCCAGTACATTTGTGGGGCCAATCCCCGGGATTCATGTCGACCACTTTTTCTTCGGCAGAAAATATTAACTCTCCCATGTCTTTACATCCTTGAAACTGCTTGTATCGCCTTCAAGTACCAATCAGGATTCATGGTGAGAAACCACCGCTATCCAAGCAAGAATCCCATGATCTTGCGTCTTCCCGAACCTACTTCTGTTTTAACAAGGAGGTCTGTCTCCCATGAGAGTGTTAATATCTTCAGCCACATTCCCCTTGATATTAAATACTCGGCATCCCCCAGAATATTTAAAATGCAGCTGAAGAGGTTGCTCATTACAAAGGCCTATTATTCTGCTACGGAATTTTTTGATTGAGGATGCACTATAGGTCAAAGCTTGAAACTGACGAGTGATGCTGCATTTGCTTCCCCCAAGGGGGCTTACTCTACTATTGCCTCAAGCCTGTTTTGTTATAACTGTTATATGCATCTGTCTAGAATATGACTGCTTATAATGTGAATGTTTATATACACATACATGTTTCATATGTTTTTTAATATTGATGTTCGTTGATCTATTTTTAGGGTTTATGTATGCTATTTTACAATTATTTCAGAAACTTCTTTTAATATTGCTTGTGATTACCAAAGTTTTATACGTCATTAGATTTTAGTGTTATTTGTTCTTTAATTCTACTATATTATTTTTTTTCTCTCAATAGCTGTGTTAAAAACATTTTATGTTATAGAACAATAAAGTATTATTTGATTTGATTTAAGTATGCAGTGAAATTAGAATCACTTGAATAAAATTGTCATTTTAATCGAACGATTGTAATTCTTCTGATATATTGATAATTATCGAGAATGAATCACAATAACTGTGATCCTGATGACTCAACAAAGTATATACTATGTGCTCAATGTGTGTAGTATACTAAAACATGTTTATAAAAAATAAACTTCTTAATTGCCTCAATAACTTCTCCAGTACCTATTGAAAAAAAAAAATCTTACCAATTTAGATTATTAAAAGAATTTCCATCAGCATCGAAATTCAAATCTTGTTCAGTTTCCAGAATTATCCCATACTCCTTGAAATTGCTTATGCAACTACCATAAATCCCCATAACACAGTGATCGTAAATTTTAATTCCAGAATATCCTTCATGTATATTAGAATTTTTAATATCAATTGTAGATCCGCTATTGCCAATAATTGCCATCGAGAATCCAGAAATATCACAAGAATCCAATGTTAATTTGGCACCATTTAAAACCAAAATTCCTTGATGAGTGGTTGAGGAACTGTCCCCAACAATTTTGCAATTTTTCATTGTTACCTGACCTTTTCTTATCAGTAAGGCACACTGGGTATTTTTACAATCAAATGTGATATTTTCAATGGTGCAGGAGTCCTGTATGCAATCAAACATTACATCATCAGCTTGTGAGACTATTTGTACAAAGTCTCTGTTGCCGATGCCTTTTAGAGTAAAATTTTCTATAAGTACACCTTCTCGTTTTATGATATGAATCTTGGGGCTTAGTAGGAATGTATCTTCACAATTTGCAGATTCAAGTTTGGACATTAAATTTGGAGCAAAGGACAGAGTTTGATCGGGATATAAGTCTTCAACAGACTGGAGGATTTTTATATAGTCCTTTGCAGTAGCATTTTTCAAAACTATCCAAATGTGAGGCTTGTCGTCCTTATCATCTGAAGATTTTAATTCACTAGATTCTTGTCTTTTCAAAATGACTTTTCTAAATATTTCATTTTCGAATAAATTTATTTCGTTTTGTATTTCAATTAGTCGTACATTAATTTCTATCAAAGTTTCCAAGTTGGTGTCTAGAAATAGTTTATATAAAATTTTAAAGATATTTTCTGAGTGCATGAGGGTTTACTTACCACAAGTATTTTCCAGATCACTGTCATCTGTGCATAAATTAACCAGATGTTGCCTTTTACTGTTTAGACGTCTAGCTTCATTTAAAAGGGCATGAATGTGCTCAGAAGTGCCTTTGGGGATGTTACCATTTTTTAAATCATAATACAGCTTCAACCTGAGAAAGAAGAAGTGAAATACTCATTTTTACTAAGTAAATATCTCGGTAAATATACTCCTGGACAAAATTATCGCACCACTGCCTATGGTGGCGCTTATGTGCAGTGGTGCGATAATTTTGTCCAGGAGTATATTTAACAACTATTAGGTACAATTCATTAATGTAAGTGAACTGACTGTGACTCGTGACAGTGCTTGAAAACCGAGTTGAAAATCATCTGAACTGTTCATCTGTGTTGGAAAATGTTCCCCTTATTTTATATTACTTATTTCAAAAAGCTTCAATGTTTCAATTTCAATTTGAAATTTCAATTTCAATTTCAATTTGAAATAAGCTTTATTGCCCAAAAATCTCACAATTTCATTGACAAAGCAAAAAGGAATATCTTATAATAATTAATACTTAGAATTAATACAATATCCAATAATTTAAACTGAACAAACACAAGACAAGAACAGTTTGACAGTCTAAAACACGTTACAACATTTACATTATTTATAAAGTATGTATAACACTATAGCTATCTCATTCAATCTTCATAAAATTCAGTAAGACCGTAAGACCATAATATGCCTTGGCGACCAGGTAGTTTTTTACAGACATACAGAAACTCGCATAGCAGTCCCCATTTTTAATGTCTTGAGAAAGATGGTTAAACATTTTCACACTTTCATAAATTATTGAGTTTTTTGTAAGGGAAAGCTTTGGTATTGGCAGCGGTAGGTAGTTTTGCCTTAAACTGTAGTTCCTGTCTTATACAGAACGAGAAAACTTTCTACAAATCAGAGGAACTGACTCAAGAATAAAAATGCAGGGCACCGATAATATTTCTTCCTGTACAAAAAGCGGTTGACAGGTTTCTCTACAGCCTTTTTTACAAAGATAATGTAGGTGTAGGGCCCTCTTTTGTAGCACAAATACGGACTGTATAGATTTTTGTGTAGAGTAACCCCAGAAAGCTTTCCCGAATCTGATGTGTGATTCTAGTAGTGAATAATAAGCTGTTTAGCTTCTTTTTTGCCAAGTTCCTGTACTACAGTCCTAATAATGTAACATCCGCTTGCCAATTTTTTATTTAAATGGTCAATATGGGAGTCAAATTTCAGTTTGTGTCAATGTGCAACCCAAGAAACTTCATGGTTGTTCTATTTGCCAGGATTTCGCTTTCTAGTCTGATGTCAGTCAAAGAGCACTTGAAAATGAGTATGTTTGTCTTTTGTACGTTAAAACACGGAGAGATCGTTTTCGATGGTTGTCTGAAAATTGTCTAGAGTCTTTAGTAGTAGTAGTGTAGTAGTAGTAGTAGTAGCATGCTTTATTGTCAAAAGATACAATAATCATTATGGACAAAGCTGATTCTTAAATCTAAAATCTAAAATCTAAACCATCTAACTATAATGCTTGTCACAGTAAATACATATACATATTTTTAAATTTTAACAGTTAATAAATAAGTTAAAAAAAAACTATAAACAAATGATAAGTCACAAAGAGAAGAAACAATACAAGAACAAACTGTTGTAAAATATTAAAATCAATAATAACTAAATAACTAGGGGGTCAGATCTTGACAGAAACATTAAGAAATAAGATAAAATATGAACAAACAGTACAATAGTGCTCTGATAGGAAAATAAAATAAACACCCAGGACAGAGTGCCACGCCCACGATAATTCTAGGCTGCAAAAGCTGGTTAAATTTATTAGGTTCAAAATACCAAGTCCAGAAATTCATTAACAGTATAGAATAGGGATGTACAGGAATTCCGGCGGTACCACTAAATCCGGCCGATCCGGCCTATAGCCCGGAACTACCTACCGTTCCGGCCGGATTGCAACCGCGATCCAGCCGGAATTTTCGAAAATTTTAAAATAGGTTAAATAATAAAGTTATAAGCGGAAAGCAAGAAGAATACTTAGAACTTTATTAAAATTAAAATTGTAGTAAACCATAACAATATTTTTTTTTAAACATAAACATTAAATTCAGGTATGGATTTGAAAAAACTTCCTTACTTTTGACATTTTTAACTCAGTTGGATACACAGGAACAGGAACACAAAACAACTGCAACTACACTGGACTGAAAATCGTTTATGTTTTACATGCACAAGCGTTTGAGTCAGATGTCAGATAGACTCGGGGATTCCCCAATTTACTTGAAGGAAGCAGCCAGACTCAAACATAACAAAACTTTAGGCGCTTTTTTTTTTCCATCGAGCTATTCTCCATTATGAGTAAGTCATCTTGATTTACCATGTACTAGAAAGAAATAGACTGCTCATCTGTAGGTTCGCCGGTAAAAAAAGAATGCGTCCTTTCAAATTATTATTAAATTGCAGAAAACTGTCGATCCGGCCGGAATTCCGGCGGTCCGGTCCGGCTAGCAGCCGGAATTCCCGTCGGATCGGCCAAATACCGGATCAGATACATTCCTAGTACAGAATGCTTGGGTAAGTAAGATAATTTTTAACTGTTTTCGAAATAGAGTGATATCTGATATATCTTTCAGTTGCTGGAAGGTGATTATAAAGTTCTACACTCTTGTAAATGATAGAGTTCTGTACAAGAGAGGAATGTGGAATAGGAAGCGACAGATGACGACTTTGTCTCGTCAGATGGGTAGTTTGGCATGCCAGAAAACAAGAGATATTCTTATGAATAAGGCTTACTGACTCGAGAATAAAAAAACATGGTAGAGTGAGGATCCTATACTTAACAAATAGTGGCCTACAGTGTTCCCGTGGTGAAACGGGAGCAATAAATCGGATTGCCCGTTTTTGTAGTTTAAACACTGATTCAAAAAGATACTGGCTGCAACATCCTTAAAATGGCAAGCCATAAGTTAAGTGTGATTGTATCACAGCGAAATATACTGATTTTGCTATAGTGAACCGCAAGGTAGATGAGATTGATCGTATGCATTAGCAGCCTGAAGACAGCTTTGAAGTCCACAGACCCGTAGCATCGTCTGCGAAAGCCGTGAATTCCCCGGAATTGCAAGGGATAGTAGGTCGTTGACGTAGAGTAGGAAAAGAACGGGTCCCAACACAGACCCCTGCGGCACACCCTGGATAATCTCAGCCATATCAGAATCAACCCCATTCACTCGGACGAACTGGCATCTAGCTGAGAGCATTGACCTGAACCAGTCCGAAGCTGTACCACGGATGCCATAATGACTAAGTTTCTGCAGCAATATTTCAAGCTTCAATGTTATCAACTGATTGAAGTCTGAAATACTTTGAGTTTCAGTTCGAGAGTAAAATGAAGTCAATAATCTCACTCAAGATCTCACTTCAAATGTTCATCTAGTGTTGCAAACAGAGGACAAAGCACTGTTTCCACTATTTTCCCATTTAAGAACAAAATAAAGAGACAGAAAGCATAGCCACCATGAACAACTACAGTAAAATAACAGAAAATGTTAGTAGAGAAATTCCACTTTCATGATAACAGATCTTTTTATCAAAAAGTTGGTGATGAATAAGAAAAGTTAAATTATGACATAGTGAGTGGAATAACTACATACAACAGAAAGGTCCAGCGACCAATATGAACTAATTTCTTATTTGCTCTTTACGGAAGTGCCAGGTCTTAGGTTACCTAAAGTGGTAGGTAACCGAGTAGGTAACTATATTTTATAATTCAGCATGTTGGCAGTATTTGGTGGCTAATTTGAATATTATTTTATTTCAAACATAGTGAAAGGCTCTAAGTAATGCTAACAAGGCACATTGACCCTACCTCGAAATTCTGTTGTTAACCAAATACAAGCAGCAAGCCGAGGGGTATTTCACTGAAGTTTTTTTGTACATATACAGGGTGTCCCAAAAAGATACCGACAAACTTTAAGGGGTAGTAGGGGACATCAAAACAAACATTTTTGTTTATATAAACATATGTCCGCAAATGAGCCATTTGAGCTGTAGAGCAAAAAAACTTTTTGGTACTTTTATTTTTCGCAATAATTAAATCACTGTTTACTTATTAATTTTGCTTTATTAACAAATAAATTATGGTTCACAATAATTGTTCAAAATGTTGACCATTTACTTCAATGCAAAGATTGCACCGTCGGGTCATTGGTCGCGAACCCTTTGGAATATTCCGGGAATAGCGTCTAGGGTACAACTCGCCAGTATCCTTGCTAACAGATCTTTCTTATTACGAACAGGTGTTTCGTAGACTAAAGTTTTCAGTCAATGACCCGACGGTGCAATCTTTGCATTGAAGTAAATGGTCAACATTTTGAACAATTATTATAAACCATAATTTATTTGTTAATAAAGCGAAATAAACAATGATTTAATTATTGCGAAGAATAAAAGTACCAAACAGTTTTTTTGCTCTACAGCCCAAATGGCTCATTTGCGGACATATGTTTATATAAACAAAAATGCTTATTTTGATGTCCCCTACTACCCCTTAAAGTTTGTCGGTATGTTTTTGGGACACCCTGTATTGTACAATGTACAATACTCAGGTATTGCAGAGTATTGTGAGAGTATTGTGGACTATTGCAACCTATTGCCCAATGATTCTAGATATTGCAAAACCATTGTGATTATTGTGAACTATTGCAAGTTATTGCAGTACATAGGTATTCTCTGTTTCTTCAAAATTTTATGTTTTTCTTTTATATTATTTAAATCTTTATGATCTAAATCAAATGAATGAGATCATCAATTCATCTTTTTCAGGCCATCTTAACTGGCATACTTTCAATTTTAGAAACTTCACTTTGCTTTCCTTGTTGTCTGTATGCAGTACTTTTGCGATGTACCGCGCAGTATCATAACATAATATACTGCTGCACTGCATAGTAATATTTAGGTCGAATATATAGTCTTTCTCCTTCATCATTTATTACTACTACATTATGAAACTTCCATTTTTAAATTCATTTTCACTTGTGTGAATATCAGAGTTGTCTGTTTTTTCAGCAGAAAAACAACATAGAGTTAACTTTCTTACTGTCTTTGACGTTCTATTTTGTAATGTATTTTTAAAAACCTTCCATTGTTCATATCTGTTACGTAGGCATTGTAATCTTTAACATTAAAAGCTACCCTGTTCATATAATTTTTAAGAGAGTTGAGCTCTTCTGGTTCTTTGTCTGCCATCACAACGTCATTTCAGTTTTTCCAGAATAGCCTCAGATGAGTCAGTTGAATTGAGTTCATCTTTGTTAAAATTGGCGTCAAGATCAGAGTTAATTATTTTTTATGGGATAGTATGTCCGTCAAAACAGTTAATTGTATAATCTTGGATATTATCTATTCCCAACATCTGAAGAACTGCGATGCAAACACGAAACCAAAAAGAGAAACCATAGGAAGGAGAGATAGAACAGGGTCCTCATTCTTGAAACAGGAAAGCAACGTTGTCAGGAGAACGAGTGTTCCGTCTTTTTCAATGATATGCGAATGATAATATAAGTAATAAAGACGGAACTAAAATACTTATTCAAATTTATACCCAACGAGTGGTAGACGCTGATGTATAGCTTTTGGTATAGAGATAGTTGAATGCGCATGCCATGTGCATTTGTTTCCCAATCAATGCAAAAATTAAATATATAGCATGCTACTGCAAAAATATTCCAAATACCTAACTTATCAAATATAAAAAAACCATACAGTAAAAAACCTCAATCTTAGAGATAATCTCAAGGATTTTCATCGACAAGAGTATGAAAATTAAAGTGAAGAACTACTGCAAACCTATTGCAAGCTATTGTGATAGTATTTTAGATTATTGTAATTAGTGATGTGAACAAGGGAACGTTCTGATTGTGCTTTCGAGAACATTCGCGAACGTTCGCGCACGAAAAAAAGGTTCGTGCTGAATATTACCTTCGGAGCACAATGAGCACGATAGAGAATATTCAGCACGTTCTCAAGCACGATCCTAACCAATAAAATCACATGACGCCATAAAGTAGAGTAGAGATATATTTATGGAAGCTGTTGAAGGCGAAGATATATCGAATATTGAGCCCGAGAACCAGGAAGCAACTTAGCAGCAATAGTTATTTTTTTTTGGAGGCAAAGGTAGCATTGTACTGGAATATACTTAAACTAAAATCACTATTTTATTTTATTATCAAAAAAAAAAAAAAAGAATCCTAATGATAATTGTATGTTGAAGTTTCACAGAAAACCCCAAATTAGAATAATTATTGTTATCAAATATGACACAAGACACAATTCACAAATTATGTGATTAATTATGTATTAAGTAGGTATATTTTCTTAAGAAGTTTGAGAACTTTCAGCACATTTATCAAGAATTTTCAGAATATTCAGAACTTTCACGAGAAATGTGGGAATTTCGGGAAATTTGAGAAAAATCAGAATTTATTTAGAAAAATGTTTTGTTTTATTCAGCTTCTGATAAAAAGCATAAATTCTCGGGTCCTGCTCGTTTTTGCTCGTTTATTCTCATTAATTCTCGATCGTGCTCGGAGAACGTTCTCCTAAAATACTTGCTCGAGCATTTTACATCACTAATTGTAATGATATTGTCAACTATTGCGAGCATATTGTAGACTATTGTGAGAGTATTGCTGGCTATTGTGAGAGTATTACAAATACAAATACAAATACAAAATATTTATTGATGCCATAACAAAAGTTTTACACAAGTAAAAAAAAAAGAGATATTGCAGATAATTGCAAGAGTATTGTGGAACATTGCGAATTATTGTAGACTACTGCAAAGTAATGTGCACTATTGCAAGGTATTGCATTCCATTGCAAGGCATTGTGAACTATTGAGAAATTACTGCCGCAATACTATACCGAAATATGTACATATATTGTGGCCAGTGAAATACCCCTCGCAGCACGCTGATACTGCAGATAAAATGCAGATATAATAGTTATTATTATTGATCAAATAAAACAGATAATAGGGACATAAAATGGACAGTGCAGATGATTTTCAGCTTCTCACTGTCTATCGCCTATACTGTCTGGACATTCACTTCCACTTCCTCGTTCACTTTAACCTAAAGACATTATTGAGGAAATTATCTAGTTACTTAAATCCCAGCTTAAATCTAATATTTTCAAACTTAAAATTCTCATAATATAAGAACTCACACTAGTTGGTTGGTCATTTACTTACCTACTGAATAAATGAGTGCCTTTCCAATCAACTGTATCATCTTCCTCATCCCAAGGCATTAATATATGTATATAAAAGAACCTGAGCATATCCAAAGCATTAGCAGTTGAATGTAGATTAAGAGCAATGGTTTTATCTTGTTGTTTGGTGGGCCAGAGTTGAGTGAGGGGCACATGGTGCTTCTCCGGCAAATGAATATCATCTTGCACAGCTAGAATTCTTACTAGAGCTGCAAGGTCCAAGTAGGCAACATCAAGCACATAAACTAAGACCACTGTGGGAAACGGTATTTTAAGCTCTTCGCATTTGAGACGTGGAATCTTCCACACTGCTTGCCATCCATTGGGGTCCAAGCTGAGTTCTAGATGATAGGCCCATTCTTTTTGGATTTGTGAGTAAAGTAAAGTTTGTGAACCCACAAATACGTTTTTGTACTCTTCAAGACGGGTCTGGAGGCTCTTGTCGAACGTTATTATTTGGTCCATTGCAGCAGTTATTCTAAGCTCTAAGTAGTTCAGTGAATTTTTCAATTTTAAAAGTGAAAGAAAGTGGAAAAACCCGAAAAGGAGAAAACCGTTTTATAACGAGAACGAGACATTAGACTTTTAAATTTGACACAATAATTCAAATTTGACGTTTTGAAATGTTTCTAGGGACTTCCACTTAACTTTGAGAATGCAGTGTTGCCAAATACCAAATATTGGAATAGGTTCTTTACTATTTCTGCAGAAATCACAAATCAGTCAGAGCGAATTTCATTGGTTGAAATGTTGAAAAAAGTCAGAAACAGTCAAAAAACTAGTTTCAACCAATGAAATTCACTCTGACTGGTTTGTGATTTCTGCAGTCGCGACCATATTAGTTGTATTCCTTTCACCCCTAGGACGAGCTCCGGAACAGCTCCGGGGCGTTACGCGCTTATTCCGTTCGAAAAGTGATTGTTGCACCACGCATCTGTTCCTTGCAAATCGGGGGCGACTAACACGGGAGCGAGTAGCTCGAGTGTTCTAAACTCTTGAAAGGAATACAACTATTGGTGTATCACCATCGCCGACGTCAATAACTCAGTCGTCAGCTGTTTGCGCCAGCGGTCCTAGAATTTAAATTTAGGATGAAAAAATATCATTTAATTTTGATTAACATAATAAGCAAAGGGGAAGATGCAAATGAGATTTAAAAAGTAGTTGTTTTAGAATGTTAAAGTAGTAAAACCAAGTATGCATAGAGCAAAAGCCCGCGGAATCATAACCTATGGTGTAAGCAGCCTACGTCAAGGCAAGAAACGACATGCTGCCTACGTCACAGTTTAGCACAGCTGACCTCTGGAGTACGTTCACAGTCGAACGCCGGACGCTCACCGAGTGCACATCGAGCGCGTCTTTTGCAGGGTTAAGTCGTTCACGGATTTACCTAATACACCCGGTTAAAATATTTGCTCCGTTCACAGAGCCATGATAACTTTACCCGGTTGTACAACTTTTTAACCCACTCTGAGATATGGGTAAAATTTGTCGCGCAGGCGTTTTACAAGAATATTTGAATATTGATAAAGAATACTGTTGGTAATCTTTCTGGGCCATACATTGCTGACTTCAACTGGTTTTCAAGTTTTCCAGGAAGCCAGTTGAAAGCCTCTCTGGAAACTCTAAAATTTTCCTGGAACTCCTTATCGCTATAATTGCGTATTGTTGCCATAAAATTATCCTGTCTTTCAATATGCCTTTTTTCAGGCTTGAAACTTAAACTGGTAGCGCTAGCACATGCAGCTTCTGCTACAGCATAGCTGACTTCTTCCTCTGTATCAGACGAATACGAAGAAGTTTCAATAGTACTTTTAAAAAATATTATTCCCGGATCCATCTCGAAACATTCGAAACACAACGTATGTAAACAAAAGGAAAACAAAATCAAATCCTACCTCGTTATGGCGCAGGCGTTAGTCGTTCACGGATTTGTCATCCCAAGCGCATCCTTTTCAACCAGTGGAATATTTAACCTGGGGCGGATTACGAACTCTCGATTCGAACCGAAACCGCCATGAATTTCGAATGCACTCCATGCGAATGCATCAGAATGGTAAACCACTGTGAACGCGCCCCTGACCAAGAACACTCCACCAAGGTCCGCTAATAGCGGTGACGTCACTCGCAGAACTCGATGGAATGCTTGCGATTCAGGCTGTGCTTGTGAGTTAATAGACCTATCTCCCATGATTAGAAAAAGGAAGCTTCATTGTAATAAATACAAGTTAGAAAACAATAAAAGATGACATGCGCGCGCAGCTCGTAGGCTGCAGTGTAGCCAGATTGTATTGTTGCAGAACAAATGTAGACAATACAAATCGAACATTATAACATTAAAGAAGTAATATAGTCTCAAGTGTTTCACAACGCCTTAAAATAGACAAAAGAAGAGCTTTAAAGTGGATAAACATCGTTTGCAATTTTATTTTGATAAATGTTTCATCCGGCAACATCGCTCAATAAAATTGCAAAGGAATATGTCAAGTATAATCTAACATAACCTTAAACGAAACTGCGGTGAGTTCAAGTAATATGTAAAGTATTAGTTTGCTCTTTGTCAAATTACACATTACAAAGAAAGAAGGAACGATTCATTCTGAACTGGCCCCTGAATAAGAATATGACGCAAGCCTGTCATTAACTTGCTTCTCATTGGACGCTCACCTGCAGCCTACAAGCGACGCGCGCAGTCCAGGTGATAGGAGATCGGTCTATTTTTTCGTCGATTTTAAATGTAGACCTCTGGAGGATGGCCGTTTTCCCAGCAATCGCCTTAAGTAAGGAATAGTTTAGGTACACTTGTTTCGTTGCTCAGCGGCTCTCAGGATCAACTCGAGGCCCAGTTGTATAATCTCGGTTCAAAACAAAGTTCAACTGAACTCGACTGGTACTTGAGCTTTCCCATTTAAAATACATTGCTGTCAGCTATTAATCAAATTCTATCAATTTTGACAGTAATGCATTTCAATTGGGGAAGTTCAAGTACCAGTCGAGTGCAGCTGAACTCTGCTTTGAACCAAGATTGTACAACTGGGCTTTAGTAAAGAACGGAGTACCGTCTGGCAACGTTGCATTTTTGTCAAAAGGACGTCAAAAATAGTCCCTCCTAAAGCCAAAGCTGTTTTCTCGCGGTGGAATTGGTTCGACCCGGTTCAATTAGGTTCGAACCTGTACATTCTTGCGTTGAACCAGTGACGTCACATTGAACCTGGTTCAAAAAAGTTCGAACCGGACTCATGGCTTGTTCTCCGTTGACATAAGACTGTGGTTCAAACGATTCTTGGTTCAAAATATTCAAAGGTTCAAACCTTTTATTTTCTCGCGTTCACAAGTGATGACGTCATCAACAAATTGGTTTAAACCGTAGTTCGAACCATTCGCCCCGCGAGAAAACGCCTCTAGTACTCATAACTGTGAAATTCGCATTTTTTGACATTGCGTTGACAAGTTGACGTTTCATGCGTGTATCAAACGTCAAATTGTCGAAGCAATGTCAAAAAAATGCGAATTTCGCAGCTAAGCTTATAGTTGGGGAGCTGGCGTCAAAAACATGCAAGAGTTTTCGCAAGGCGGATATTTTTCAAAATAGGTCGTACTTTAGTGCTAGAGAATTCTAGTGTACAGTCAGCACTCACAGTTCCGGGATAGCTGCCTCTGGGACGCGGGCAAAGTTGTAATTTTAAGAAGCATCTAAACTGTTTTCTCAAAGCTCAAAATTTATAGAAATTTTGCACATTATCTGTTTGAAGGTCACAGATAACGTATGTAAATCGTCAGACGTCTATTCGTTGCAAAAAGGGGGTCAGACGTCCTCAAAGTTTTTATTTTATGGCATTTTCTTCGGTGTCCTGTCAAAATATATTTTTGCAGGTATTTGACAAATATATTTGAAGAAAATGCCATAAAATAAAAACTTTGAGGACGTCTGACCCCCTTTTTGCAACGAACTAGACGTCTGACGATTTACATAGGTTATCTGTGACCTTCAAACAGATAATGTGCAAAATTTCTATAAAATTTGAGCTTTGAGAAAACAGTTTAGATGCTTCTTAAAATTACAACTTTGCCCGCGTGCCAGAGCCAGCTGTCCCGGAACTGTGAGTGCTGACTGTACACTAGCATTCTAGCACTAAAGTACGACCTATTTTGAAAATATCCGCCTTGCGAAAACTCTTGCATGTTTTTGGCGCCACCTCCTGGACTATTATATTTTTTTGACATTGCGTTGAAAATTTGACGTTTTATGCGTGTAACAAAAGTCAAATTGTCGAAGCAATGTCATAAAAATGCGAATTTCGCAGTTATGAGTACTAGGCATATCCCAGGTGATGGTACCAGCGGGACTGAAGGTGCTGAAACCCAGACATCCCGCGAAAAGCGGGACGCCGCAACCCTAACTGCAAGCATTCCTTGGGTTTTGTATTATTTAATAGCACAATTTTTGATTCAAACCCGTTTCTCCGTGATTAAGGTCGCTAAAGTCCAACAAATACCATTTTAAAGTCACGTGATTTTTCTCTATCCTTATTAAATACATCTTAAACAGCGGTGATATAGTAAAATTGACAAAAAAATTGTGTCTTATTATTGTTCATAATATTCTTACCTGAAATAGAATCCGTTACTGTCATCAATTAGTTTGTCAAAATTATTTTCGAAAATGATACAAGGGCCGAGTTCGTTTTTGTCATCTTTTTCGTCGATTTGCTCCGAAATTTTGACAGGCACGTGATTTTTAAACTGAAACTGTCTTATCCAGTCACGTGCCTGTCAAAATTTCAGAGCAAATCGACGAAAAAGATGACAAAAACGAACTCGGCCAAGGAACGAACATAGCTAATAATTTTGATTATATTAACCTTTTTCCAACTCGAAAAAAAGCAAATAGAAAACGGGTACCCAATTCAAGTTCAGAATGTATTACAACGGACAGCAGATGCGAACCAGTAGCTTTTTGTAGGTGATATCAACGACATAATCAATGAACATACGTTTTTTGCCACCAATATCACGTGACTTTAAAATGGTATTTGTCGGACTTTACCACGCTACCACAGCGCGGACTGTAATGTTCTATTATCACCTAAGCCAGCGGTTCCCAACCGGTAGGTCGCGACCCCTAAGGGGGTCGCATAGGGTTTTTGGAGGGGTCGCAATGCCAATATCAATATATATTTTTCTGCATTTGGCAACACGACTTAGAGCCGTTTTACACGGCAAAGTTTCTTCACGAAATTATTCACGAAATTATTGCCGAAATATTTCGTAAGTTTACTATTCTTGGTTTCGCTTCTTCCTGTTTGACACGGCAAATAAAAGTCTAGCAAAAGTTTCGTGGAAATATTAGTCATACGCAGGCGCAGTAACATTTTGCCATCAATAATATGAAATCATAACCTCATACTTTGATAAACCAAAACAAATAAAACTTCCGTTTTCTAATTGTTGTTGAATCTTTGTACCCTCCTGCAGTTTCATAAAGTTGAATTTCTGCTTTCCTTCCATAAATAACGTTTGTTTTTTTTTTTTATTTGCCCAGCTGTTTTTGGCCATTTTTGGGTGCA